TTTAGAGTCTGTGGCTGTGCAGATTTCGTAAAATTGTTACAATTTCCTGAAGAGGGATTTTGGAACAGCCTGCTTTTGTTTCTTTCCTTTTGTTTTGTTTTCTCATGCACCTCTCCAGGCATTTACAAATTCTTTTACATTAACTGTCGATAGCCTTTTTAGTTAAACAAACAGAGCTACGAAAGAAGGGCTTGTCTGCGTAAGCTCTGCACAACCCTTTCATGTTCCTGAAGTATTCCTGGTCTGGGTTAGCCTGAAAAGTTTTTGTTTACATCATGGTAACTTCCCAGCCTAATAAATCATCCTGTCACAGAGATAGTACTGGTAATGATCTTTCATGACTTCTGCTGGCTTGTTTGATACGGGCCATTGCAGATACGTGCTTGATTGATGCAACTGTAACTGTGCAGCCTGATTATCAATTGCTTGGCTGCAAAAAATCCAGTGGCTCATGATTCACATTCAGTGCATGGCTGTGTCTCCTCTCTAAAGAATTCATCATATCTCTGACCAAAAGTATCCCTTTACTTTCTTAATTGTCCGTGAATTTTGGAATATTTGGGCAACGTATGCTACAGTTCAGCTCTTTATTTCTGTGGCTGCTTGTACATTTAAAGGAAGATGCACATGCAGAAATGGTTGGTTACAAGCACAGTGTCATTCTACAGATGAAGCTAATATGGCTTGAGCAGATATTGCCCTCAATGGTAGTGCTGTGCCAAAACTTAATAGGCTGAATTCATCCCTGACGCAAGGCCACTCAGACAATAGAATTACACTGGAGATGCGGTTTTCCTGCTAAAACTCAGGGCAGTTGTTCACATTGGCTTTACTTTGAGTAAATAAATACTGTAACCCTGGATACGAATTGCCGTGATGACAGAGTACAGAGGGCAGGGATTAGGTTAAGAGTTTCAGAGGTCTGATTTAGTCTGGATTTAAAGTAAGAGTATCAGCTGATGTATCCAGACTCTGCCTTGCAAATGAGTGATTTATGCAGAGAGGGATTTTGTACTCTATCAAAGCAACTTACTGCAGTGGAAAAAGCTTTCTCATAGGTCTCAAGTTGCTTTTGTGGTATATTTTTTTTTAGACTTGCTGTTGAGAAATTGCTTTAAAGCTGACCTTTGTTTATTGAGCTGATATTCTCAAATATTCAAGAACAGCAAGCACAGGAGAATCTTAGCTTCTTGCCGTATCCATAAGCACGGCAGCAGTTTCACTGCCATCCTTATTCAACTAAAAGTTACAACGTAATATACCCAGTAATGCTTGAAGAGGTACTGCGCTTCTTGGTGCAGTTTGGATGAGGGGATTGATGCCCAGCCGTGTTTATTTCTAGCAGATAAAGGAATTTGTATGAATGTCTGTCAGAGAGAAGAACCAATTTAAAACATTGGCAGCTTTTAATTGTCGCCTCAGTCCAAGATCAGTGAGCAGATCCCATGCTAGTTGGTGGAAAATACCTACTGGGTCTGTGCAGATGGATGATATCCTGTCTCTGTTTTACTGCAGTAGGAAACTGCCTATATGACTTTTCCCCACTCTATGGCTGAAGCGCTTGCGTAAGCTCTGTCCCTGAATTATACATTCAAAATAATAAATCATTTACTGAATCAAGTCACAAGCTTTTATGCCTCTCACGTGGACACAGAGACAGTGAATTTGAATGCATCTACCAGTAACAGCTGGTTTGGGATTTGGAAACCCCATCATTATGTCATCGTCATTGTATCCCACTGAGGGGAAAGTGTCTTGCTGCTGCAGTGAATGATGTTATTAGGTTTAGCTTTAAGTTGTAAAGGACCGTGCTGCAGTGTGGTGCAAGAAGAACACACACGCACACACGTACGAATGCAAGGAAGAGGAAGTTCATGTTTTAATATGCATATTCAATGTTATGTTATACATATTTAAAAGCTTTCCGTGTGCTAAATATAACCTGTAACACGGAACCCAGAGAGCAAACACCAACTTACTCATATATATGAAAGAGGAGAAAAATTACTGCCTACCTTTTACAGTGTGTGTTCAGAAAGTAGAGCTCCGGAAGCACTGAAGGGAGGCTGTAATGAACTGATCTAAAATGTGCATTCAGCTGAAATGCATCATATCTGATAATTGCCCTGCTGCTGGCAAAATGCCACTCTCTTCTATCACACTTTACTTTCTTAACTAAGAATGCTGTATTTGGATGTACTGGAAGCAAATCCTTCCTCAGGATATGTTTCCAGCCTGTTCAAAGGCTTTCAGAAACCTTTCTAGAAAGCTTATCTGTCTGTTCTCTGAGGATTGAAAGCTGCTTTAAAATGTTTTTTGCAATTTAAGGAATGGACAAACACTGTTGGTACAGATAGCAGAAGGTAATTAATCATATGCCACAGGATGACAATTACAGAGGTGGCTTGTGAATTAGATCCAAGTGTGGCATCAACTTATCCACCTCTGGGTTGGTTGTCAGCAAATGTCCAAATGTCCAAGCAGCTGAACTCTCCTTGCTTGTCCCAGCTTGCTAGCGGCACGGCTGTTGTCACCAAGCAGGTTGGGTATTGGGAGGAACTTAGGACAGTTATTGAAACAGTGACTGGTGTTTACAAGGGTGCAGTGACAGAGTGCAATGAAAGAGCTGGAGTCCCTCCATATCATACGCAGTCGAAAGCAGTGAGAAGCTTTCAGAGAAGCAATGACTGATTCAGCGTAAAATATTTCATTATTCATGGTATTCATACTGTTACTGTTGCACAAACAGCTGACACTGAATTTTCCGTGCAGAACTAAAAGGACTGTGTTCTTCATGGTGCTGAGTGCTTCGAGGGGAAAAGTGCTGTTTGAGCCCAGAGCAAAACTCTCTTTGGTTTTAGCAGAGCAGAATAAGGAATACATTGCATAGATACTTGTACTGTTTGAATATTAGTTTGTGAATAATACCATGCTCCCCTTCATTTTTCTTCTGTCTGATGAGTAGTGTCATAGTGGAGATTCACTCTGATAGCTTTTCTGTCAGAGCCGTCTATCACAGACCAGATCAATATTAAGGAAAAGCTTCCTCTACATCGCACAAAGAGGAGGAATTTTTTGTGTGCTGAGTGACTATTCCTGCACGTGCCGGCCTGTCTAGCTAATTTTAAAACGAAGGCACATCAGTCCACTGCCACCCTGGTAAAAGCTCCATTTATAGTAACCGTGTAAGGTAAACTGTAGTTCTGCAATACGTTTGTTTTAATAATATTGTTGCCAGCTTAGAAGCAGGGACAAATGGTTTCTGGCAGTTTGTTCAGATACATTTGTAAATCATCTCCTACTAATAAGAGCAAAATAATGAGTGAGTTTTAGAAGCACTCTAGGAAATACTTGTAATTAGAGCCTAGTGGACCACAAAAAAAAAAAGAGCTTTCAGAGATGATAGCAAAATTCTTTAGAGGCACCAGTGTGAATGTACGGGTTCTTTTTACACAGTACATTGGTTATATTCTCCTGCTGTGCACTGCTTACAAGAGTAGATTCGTAGCAAGTTTATCCATTGCCACCCCAACCAAATGAAGGATGTGTCATCCAACGAACTGTTACCCTAGAAATGTAAGTTAGGTACGTGCACATTGTATTCCTGTGTAGAGTTGTCATTTATCGACTAGTACATGCAGCAGAGCTTTGTCATCAGTACTTCTCTGTCTCACAGTTATAGAAGCTTCGTCGTGATACCGCATATAGTGCGTATTTTATCACGTCTTATGATTGAGGTTGGTCATTTTGTCTTCAGTTTCTAAATCAGGGCTTCTGTGTCTTCCGCAACTGAAAACCACTGGAGAACAGAAAGAGGCAAAAGAGTTGGAAGAAAGTTGATTTTGAGCACTCTGTAGCTTTGCTCTCTCTGAGGGGGATCCCACTCTTTGCCTCCCTGTAGTAGAGCGTTTGACTTGGTGGAGCCACAGTGTACAACACAGCCCACAGCAGACTGCTTGGGGAGCAAACCCCCCTTTAATTAGGAGGGAGAATAGAGAAGTTGCTCCAGCTCATCAGTATGCGGCGTTTGAGTCAGCTGCCTCCTTCCACAGCCCAGACCAAAGCTCACACCACCTCCCTTTGGCTCTGACTCACTGTCAGAATCCACACTCTCCCCCGTGACTGAGTAGGAGATTGTGCTGGGTAGAAATGGCCATGAACAGATGTCTCTGTTTACCTCTTCTGCCCCCTCATCATTTGTCCTCCGTGGACAACTGGAAAGAAGACCAAACTGCAAGACACACTGGCAGTAGGGAGATGGCTGGGTCATTGGTGAGCTATTGCTGGGGTATGCTCACCAGTCTGGCCCCTTTCTGAAGTTACTCTTTGGATATTGTTTTACTACAGCGTTCTCTTTTAGCCAGACTGAGGCTGCATGGGAAAAAAAAACAAACAGGGGAAACAGAAGAGGCAGAAAGTCCCCGATATTGATTTTTAACATACCCTGTCTCTCCATGCTAAGGAA